GAGAGAGAGAGAGAGAGATTAGCTTAAAACCATAACAGCTACAAACCAATTTAGCTATTCATATGCATTCTATCCGTGCATCGAAGATTCAACCAAGACGGTGTTCAGATGACAATGCAAAAAAACTTGGAAGAGAAAATGCTTAGTCTTTTTCCTTTTTGGAAGCTTTCCTATAATCTTCCCTTCATTTTCCCATAGCTAAGAAACTTATCGAGCTGAGTTCAGAAGTGATACATCATCCTAAGAAAGTGATATTTGCAAAGACCTTCTTCAACACGAATAAGCCGATATTTTTCGTACGCCCACAATTTAAGCACCACGGATTACAAGGTGATAATATATGAACAATCATACAATAAGTTTACTAACAACCCAGAAATTTGACAGTACTAAATTCAAAACACCTTACACTCTCATCATACCCCTCGACTGTGCACATTTGACAAAACACACACACACACACACACACAAATTTTTTATCACTGCTGAAGCCAAAAACCCCAACAAAAATGCAACAAGATCGATTCACATTAATCATCACATCATAGAACCAAAAAAGAGTGAAAAAAAAAACAGAAATTTTGTAAATTACTAAATTCCAACCGACCTTCAAACGGTGGCACAATGTGAGAAAATCAATAGCGGCAGAGGCGGACGGCGAAGCATGCAAACGGGCCGAATCATCGGGCCCAGATCCGTACCCGGAAGCCGTTTGTTCCATTTTGAAGGAATCGAGGTTGGGGTTGTGCGATTGAACCGAGACGAGTTTTGGGCTCCGAGGGTCCGAAAAATATGGTACCTTGAATGAGAATGTGCTGGAAAAATTTGATCTTTGCGAGACATTAGTGCGAGAAAGCGAACATGGGTTTGGTGCCGCTGTAGATGCCATTCCTTTTACGGCTCTTCTGAAAAAGAACAGGTTGTGAATTGAGATCGGTTTTCTTCTTCGCTGCAACTATCGAATAGCTTTTCCCCTTATTTGTGTGTATTTTCGTGGTTTCTTGTTTTTGTCAAGGTTGGCCTAGGAGACACATTGTCGGGTCACCGGGTCAACCGACTATCACCGGGTCAATTGATAATCCAAATAATTTATTATAAAATTTTAAAATTTAATATATAGTATTTCATCATATAAATA